ATCATGAACACCTATCCCATATTCCCAGTAATATTTGTACCCAAGCCTGAGCCGCATGTACACAGAGTCACTCCAAGCATTTCTCCTTTTACCATAAGTGAAATGGGTGTTTTGACTCACACACATGTAGTGTTGCATGGTTTGACTTCCCTCATACATTATACCTCTCCTCGCCACTTCAGCCTGTGCCTGAATATTTCTGATTTTGCTTATTTGTCTCATTGTGAATTCACATTCAATGTCAACTTGTGGTTTTGATGTGACACGTTTGGCCAAGTCAATCGCCACCTCGTTGAGCACTATTCCAATATGAGATGGAATCCACATGAATTTCACATGGTGACCTTTCAGCTGTATCTCAGTTATCCTTCTCTTACAATCCTCAACTATGGACACAAAGACTGGATTTCGACTGTTTAAGAACTCCAGTGCTCCTCGGCTATCGACAAATACAAAAATATCTTTGTCGTCATGACGTACTTCCTCCAAACACGCCAGAATGGCCTGCAGTTCAGCTTGTGTGGATGATATATAATTACTAAGCCGGAGTTCAGTTATCCTGTCCATAGTCCCAAACTCTGTATATTCCCTTATTAGATGGTGGTGGTACTACCAAGGTGCACATCACTATCCCAGCAAGGAAGGCTCCCTTCCCTCCCCCCCCCCCCCAGGCTCATTACAGAGAAAACACAACAATTGAAACAATTACAACTGTACATTTAAACAAAATATGTGTCAAGAGCACCCATATGCAGCGAAACCTGTCATCGGCGTTACACTCAAAACACGGTCACACGCGGGGAGACGAGGCTACGGTCACGCTGGCCTTGTCACCACCCATCTTAACGACCCAACCACCTCCCTTCTGCAGGTCCCCCACACTGCTGGTGAGCCCCCCAACCCACCTACCACCCCCTCCATCCCTCCGGGTGACTGCTACAGTATAGTGCTGTGGATACACAATTACTGTTGGGTACTTTTGGCTGGTAATGTGGAAATATTCCAGTATTATATGGCAGCATTATCCGTGCTATGTGTGTGTCCGGTGCTGACTTGTGTGGACCTGTCACCCCACAGTGTGTGGTGCTGACTTGTGTGGCCCTGTCACCCCACAGTGTGTGGTGCTGACTTGTGTGGCCCTGTCACCCCACAGTGTGTGGTGCTGACTTGTGTGGCCCTGTCACCCCACAGTGCCTGGTGCTGACTTGTGTGGCCCTGTCACCCCACAGTGTGTGGTGCTGACTTGTGTGGCCCTGTCACCCCACAGTGTGTGGTGCTGACTTGTGTGGACCTGTCACCCCACAGTGTGTGGTGCTGACTTGTGTGGCCCTGTCACCCCACAGTGTGTGGTGCTGACTTGTATGGACCTGTCACCCCACAGTGCCTGGTGCTGACTTGTGTGGACCTGTCACCCCACAGTGTGTGGTGCTGACTTGTGTGGCCCTGTCACCCCACAGTGCCTGGTGCTGACTTGTGTGGCCCTGTCACCCCACAGTGTGTGGTGCTGACTTGTATGGACCTGTCACCCCACAGTGCTAAATACTATTACAGTTAGCAGACTATCAAACGGCTCTTTGTATTACCTGTGATCGGTTTCCAGTTTCTTTTTCTACACTCATACCAACCTTAGGTCATATCTCAAATGTGTGACTACTCGAGACCAACATGCCATTACAACCTGGTTGGTCAGGCACTTCCTGCAGGAAACTGTCAAGTCCATCTTGAAGACTTCAACCATTGTCTCGGCATTAATTCTTACATTTAATGGTAGATGAGTTAATAGTCTTCAACTCCTACAGTTAACATCTGCCACCACACACAGGCTGGGGATGGATAATACTACGCACATGATGGCTATTGTGTGTGTACGTGTGTGTGAGCGAGAATAGAGGGACCAGAATAGAACACAGCGAGAGAGCGCGTTGGTGGACTTTCTGTCATGTATAAGACTATAGTCGGTGTTCCTCTCACGATCCAACTTCGTGGACAACCAGAATTTAGCAATCTAAATCCTCAGATTAGGCAAAATTGTAATTTTGTCAATAAAGATGTTAATAATAAATATAACCCATAATACAAGGCTCTCTGTCCCCAACTGCCTCTCTCAATTACCTCACTATCAGCGACCATTCAGTCCTAGGCCGACTCACGTATGGAACCTGTTCGCTGAACAAGTAGAGATGTGTGAAAACAGTCAACCGAACATATGAAGGCTCGGACACAGTTGCCTCTGGCTAATCCTGTTCCTTATATAATATTTTCTTAGCATTAAAGTCAGTTTATTCTTAATAGATACAGATAATAATCTTATAAAATAAATGGATTTCTGAAATGAGACTTCAGATTAAGTCCACAATTCCACTACGGGCTCACCATAGCCCGTGCTACTTGAATCGTTTATTCCAAGTAGCTGAATCTAAACAACAACAAGCTTCAGATGAGCAAATGTAGGAAACGGCTCTTGCTTGCATTTTCACTAAGAGCATCAACGACATTCCCTCCATCAACGACACTCCCTCCATCAACGACACTCCCTCCATCAAGGACACTCCCTCCATCAAGGACACTCCCTCCATCAAGGACACTCCCTCCATCAAGGACACTCCCTCCATCAAGGACACTCCCTCCATCAAGGACACTCCCTCCATCAAGGACACTCCCTCCACCAACGACACTCCCTCCACCAACGACACTCCCTCCACCAACGACACTCCCTCCACCAACGACACTCCCTCCACCAACGACACTCCCTCCACCAACGACACTCCCTCCACCAACGACACTCCCTCCACCAACGACACTCCCTCCATCAACGACACTCCCTCCATCAACGACACTCCCTCCATCAACGACACTCCCTCCATCAACGACACTCCCTCCATCAACGACACTCCCTCCATCAACGACACTCCCTCCATCAACGACACTCCCTCCATCAACGACATTGACAGGATTGAAACAGCGAAAGGAAAAGTCAAGAGAAAGGAAGATAAAAAAAAGAGGTAGAAAAATAAGAATATTAAAAAATACTTGGCGAATTAAATGGGTTATCTTGAGAGGATTTCGGGGCTTTAGTGTCCCCGCGGCCCGGTCCTCGACCAGGCCTCCACCCCAGGAAGCAGCCCGTGACAGCTGACTAACACCCAGGTACCTATTTTACTGCTAGGCATAGGGTGAAAGAAACTCTGCCCATTGTTTCTCGCCGGCGCCCGGGATCGAACCCGGGACCACAGGATCACAAGTTCAGTGTGCTGTCCGCTCGGCCGACCGGCTCTGGGTGCAGAAAGGTTGTTCACATGTCAACAAAAGAAAAGTTACACCTCCAAACATGCCACGCAAAACACTCACACCGCCACGAGTGTCCAGCTGTTAGTAACCAGCGGGGACACGACCAACAAGGCCGTCACACCACCACCACGGCTCCAACACTTGTTAAACCAGCCACAACATGTACCCGGGGCACGGCAGAGGAATTAATTCCATTACAAATATGAGGTGTTTATAAGACATGAAGGAAACTGGAGAGCGAAGTTGTTTGTGCTCACACCTCAGCCCCGTGGCCCCACACACACACACGCCTCAGCCCCGTGGCCCCACACACACACACGCCTCAGCCCCGTGGCCCCACACACGCACACACGCCTCAGCCCCGTGGCCCCACACACACACGCCTCAGCCCCGTGGCCCCCACACACACACACGCCTCAGCCCCGTGGCCCCACACACACACGCCTCAGCCCCGTGGCCCCCACACACACACGCCTCAGCCCCGTGGCCCCACACACGCGTGGCCAAAGGCTCATTTTTAGCCAGAACTAATAAGGACATGTAAATATTGTAGTGTCCCGAGACGAACCTAATACAAAATAAAAATTTTGCTTTGATTAAAATAATACAATTCAACTCTCACTTTAAAGAATGAAGAGCTGTATCTAGCCACGTCTGGCAGCCCGTGTACAAAGTACACACACATCACATTAGCGTGATATATCCAAGAACAAATCCACAGGAGCCATGATGTGGGTTCAAACCTATGCGCTGGGTGTTCCCAGGCGCGCTCTAGTCAACTGTACCGCGACATGGCCAGAGCCACGACACACATGGTGACTGGTGTGTGTCTGGGAACACACTGCGCATAGCTTCGAACCCCTCATCAAGCCTCCTGTGGATTTATTATGTGCACACATAATAAATCGTTAATGTTAATGATGTTTACGGCATCATAAACATCCACGTCGTGTGATGGAAGCGTTCGCCGGCAAGGACAGAGCCCGGCGGGGGGGCAGTGGTACGAACACATCAGAGCGTGGACATGTCACAATGGAGTGTTCGGGAGCTCTTTGGATCAAATTTTTCTCTACTACATAACACTGGGATCGATTTTAAGATTTTGGAACGTAAACAAAAGATTATAAAAATTGAATCTAGTGAAGAGGAGTCCTTCGTGTTAGTTATATAAGCATTCTCTGCTTGAAACTTCAAGTAAATATATCTTTTATGATAGAATTAGTTTTATAATAGCAAGATATTATACCCGTAGTTATTAAGTAAATAAACACTGATGAACATGAAATATGAGAGAAGGTGATGAGCCCTGCCTGATGGGATCACTTACTATCACCAAATGCCCCTGTTCACCTAGTAGTAAGGGTGAACCTTAGCTATACATACCCATTTCTAATTTATTTAGTTTGGTTTTATTTTGAAATTAAATCTGGGTGAGACAAAATAAAAATATGCTGCACAAATGACGTTAGGTAAGGAAAAGGGTAAAAATGTCAAAAACTTTATTCATTGAATACTTAAAAGCTATAATTATGACTATATAGACTATTAAAAGAGAGGGGGAAGTAGGGGTCCAAGACCTCTTCCTGTTATACAATTTGGGTGTGGAACAAGTAATTATCAAAAGAAGGCACCATGCCGGGAAGGCTACGTAGCAGTAAGGCAGTGAGGTGAGGCAGCTACTTATTTGAGAAATGCTTATTTTATTTACCTTACAAGCTGAGGCAACTTATTTTATTTGAGGAATACTCAGCTGATTCCTCTACATTTAGCATGGAACAAATTTGTGTTCAAGACCTCTTCCTGTTACACAATTTGGCTGTGTGTAACCAAACTAGAAGTGCTCTACAAATCAAGGGACCCAGAATGTGGAATGACCTCCCGAAACATGTCAAAGGCTGTACCTCTCTCAACCAGTTTAAGAGTAAAACCAAGTACTACCTAATTAACTCCATGTAACCTAACTTATTCCCTAAATGTCAACCCATGTCTTGCTATTTTTTAAACAATGTTGTTTACCAACGTGTACAATTGCTGATTTCTGCTATGTTACCTCCCTTTTTTATTTGTTATTCCTTCTTTCAACACAATTTATACCTATTCCAGATTACTATTAAGTTTTAGTCTAAGTGTTTTTCCCCCCCACACCTTGCCCGAAATGCTATGAGTATTAGTGACTTTAGGTATTGTATGTACTAGCTGTCTATAAATCTAACATTGTAAATCAACTGTATGTACTTTTCCTGAATAAAATTTATTTATTATTATTTATTTATTAATCAGTAAGTATTAAAAGAAGGCACCAAGCTGGGAAGGCTATGTAGCACCATTGTGTGTAACAATAAACCAAATTTTTTTTAACAAATAATGCACCTGTATGGTAAAACAAATCCTGTCAGCTGTAAAAATATTGATGCAGTTATTTAAATAAAAAATATAATGAAAGAAATATTGCTGGTTTATTTTATCCTATCTTTTTGTACTGTATAGTATATCCAAGGAAGTGAAAAATTGAGACATAATGCACAATTTAATGAATGATTAGCATGGATTAGCAGTTCAAAAGAAATATGACTATTACATATCAACATGAGATCTTAATGATCCATGGTCAACATGATTTAATAAGGATAATACAGTATTTGTAATAATACAAACTATAATTTAAAATCTTTATTATTTTTTTTATTAAGAAGATTAGGTATACACAGCAATGTGCTGCTACCCTATTCTATATGGAATATTACAGTGTAGATAAAAAACTAGCTATAAGTTTACCTAATACTCTCATCTCACAGGATGGTTAGACATACATGGAATCAATTTAGAAAATACCAGCCTCAATACAAAAAACAAATCAACTCTGACTAAACAATTCTTCGCGATTTTCACACGAGGTAAGCACTGAATCATGGAAACATTATATTATAATTACTCTTACCAGCTTCTACAAGACTTCTCGCAAACAATGTATTTTTTAATATGTTTAGGTATACACAACAATGTGCTGCTTCCCTATTCTGTATGAAGGACCACGCAGTGTAGATAAAAAACCAGCTACAAGCTCATCCAACATCCTCACCTCACAGGATGGCCAGTCATACATGTAATTAGGAGAGAACAAAATACTTAATGCTGATCTATTAGCTTCCACTGGCAAAATCTGGGTGCAGCACAAGAATATCTTCCAATATTCCTGAGTGTATGAAGTAATTACAGAGCTCAAAGTACCTCATACCATTTGGTATGAAGTCACTGATAACAGGGCAATCACAGATATAGTGTTGGAGAGTATGTTCTCTCAAGTAGGACTGAAAACAAATGTTTTTTCCACCAAGAGGGCTATAAACCCATGGAACCGCCTACCCGCTGAACCCGTAAATGCCAAATTCCAGCTAAAAAATATCATTAAGACAATTGGCGGGCCCTTTAACAAGCAGCCGGCTTTCTGTTCTCGTCGAGGCCACTAGATAGTTAGTGGCCCTTGGGTAAATTCAGTAAATATATACAATAATTGTCAGCGCATCTTCCGAGCAACAAGGACAGATACACATTATCTCTTAGAATTACGTAGGTAAACAACAAATGTAACATATTTGTTTACGGAACTATCTACAGAACAGTATCACACACTGTTTCACACTGATTCACAAATGAGACGAGGCGGTGACGTAATATTAGGGCGAAATAATTCAAGTACCCACAGAAATAATCTAGATTGACGTGAATGAAGGTAAAGACAGCCTTACACTAGACGTACATACACGGGCCACAGAACCTGGAAGACATATTTGGCCAGAAATCTCTGGGGCTTTTAGAAGTTATAAAGTCTGCATTGAAAAGTTATGAAGATTTTGGCATGAGCGAAAAGACAATGAACAGTTCAGAATGAAGAGGGGAAACCTTAGAACCAGGAGGACGGCGACTTAACACACGACTTGGCCCAAACCTGACGACAGATGCACATACAAGTAAAACTTGCAGATGTACAAATATAATCCTTTGAGAACCCTGGCCAAGCTGCCAGGCAGCCTCGAGGGACCCCCTGGCCAGCCAGCCTCGAGGGACCCCCTGGCCAGCCAGCCTCGAGGGACCCCCTGGCCAGCCAGCCTCGAGGGACCCCCTGGCCAGCCAGCCTCGAGGGACCCCCTGGCCAGCCAGCCTCGAGGGACCCCCTGGCCAGCCAGCCTCGAGGGACCCCCTGGCCAGCCAGCCTCGAGGGACCCCCTGGCCAGCCAGCCTCGAGGGACCCCCTGGCCAGCCAGCCTCGAGGGACCCCCTGGCCAGCCAGCCTCGAGTGACCCCCTGGCCAGCCAGCCTCGAGGGACCCCCTGGCCAGCCAGCCTCGAGGGACCCCCTGGCCAGCCAGCCTCGAGGGACCCCCTGGCCAGGCAGCCTCGAGGGACCCCCTGGCCAGGCAGCCTCGAGGGACCCCCTGGCCAGCCAGCCTCGAGGGACCCCCTGGCCAGGCAGCCTCGAGGGACCCCCTGGCCAGCCAGCCTCGAGGGACCCCCTGGCCAGCCAGCCTCGAGGGACCCCCTGGCCAGCCAGCCTCGAGGGACCCCCTGGCCAGCCAGCCTCGAGGGACCCCCTGGCCAGCCAGCCTCGAGGGACCCCCTGGCCAGCCAGCCTCGAGGGACCCCCTGGCCAGCCAGCCTCGAGGGACCCCCTGGCCAGCCAGCCTCGAGGGACCCCCTGGCCAGCCAGCCTCGAGGGACCCC